TTCTGTCTTTTACTGGACACTGTGAAGGTGAGTAATAACTTCCATTCTTACAGTATTAATCCCGGCTGTTATGAGCCATATTCTGCTGATAGGACACCAGACGCTGATAAGAGACATTTGTGTTTAAAATCACTTTAATCTCTATCGCTTCCTTAGTCTTGCCACGTTTCTGATTAGCTCCATCCTGTTTGCCACTTTTGTATGAGCCATATTCTGCTGATAGGACACCAGACGCTGATAAGAGACATTTGTGTGTAAAATCACTTTAATCTCTATCGCTTCCTTAGTCTTGCCACGTTTCTGATTAGCTCCATCCTGTTTGCCACTTTTTAAAGTGAATCGAGCAAATGCAATACAGTTCACCCTCATGTTGTGTTCTGGTTTCAAAATATGTTATTTTGGGTTCCCAAGATGAAATAAAATGTCATACAGGTTTGGAACAACATGAGGGTGATTAATTTTCATTTTGGGTGAACTGGCCCTTTAAAAAATATATATAAATAAAGGTGACTTGACTTGACTGGTCATTTTACCTTTATTGAACTAAAACTTGCTGACTTTGCTAACACAGGGTATATAAAGTGACGTGACATGTGGCCAAGTATGGTGACCCATACTTGGAATTAGTGCTCTGCATTTATCCCATCCAAAGTGCACACACACAGCAGTGAACACACACACACCGTGAACACACACCCGGAGCAGTGGGCAGCCATTTTTGCTGCGGCGCCCGGGGAGCAGTTGGGGGTTCGGTGCCTTGCTCAAGGGCACCTCAGTCGTGGTATTGAAGGTGGGAGAAAGCGCTGTACATTCACTCCCTCCACCTACAATCCCTGCCGGTACGAGACTCGAACCCGCAACCTTTGGGTTACGAGTCCGACTCTCTAACCATTAGGCCACAACTTCCCCACAGACCTTTCCTAAAAAGTTGGATAATTTTTGTACTTTTTTAGGATTTTTTCCTACTTTGTTACACTTGTGATGTTCCCTGTAAAAAAATGACCTACAAAAAATTGCTTATACATTTTTCATTATGCTCTAAAAAATCTTTAACTCAAATTTGGTGTTCCGGGTAAAAAATAACTGGCCTTTTAAACATTGCTTGTACATGACTCATTTTGCTATATTATGACCATATCTTAGATTCAACCTTTTTATCAACTTGTTTTCTTTCAGATAGCACAGGTTTTGTATTTATTTTGGATCGTAAGCTTCAGGTTTTGAGTGAACATTGCCAAAATTATTGACAAATAATGCTTTTTTTTTTTTTTTTCGACTTCAAACCTGAAGTGCGTAAGCTCAGATCAATGAGGCCTATGATCAGTCAGTTCCAAAAAGAAACACAAAGCCTGTGCTAATTGAAAGAAAACAATTTGGCAAAAAGCTGAATCCAAGATTTGGTGATAATATAGCATAGTTAGAGATTTACAAGCTATTTTTAAAAGGTCGGTCATTTTTGACAGGGGACACCAGATTAGGTAAAAGATTTTTAGAAATGCACAAGGTGTAATGATGATAAAGTGAGAAAACTTAAACGGAGAGAAGGGAATAAGGAAAAGGAAAGCTAATACACACACTTGGTCGTCCCAGAAGATGTGCTATGCAAATGACGAGCGCAGCATCCTTAACTGTATCCTGTAGGAGGGGTGTGCTTTGTTGACTTTAGCGGGCGTTCTTTAAAGACGTGCTTATGGGCCTCACGGAGCAACAACCTGTTCAAGCCACAGGCGATTGCTTAGGTGTCAGGTTTTTTCAAGGTGTGCCCTGAGGCGGATGGATTTAAACTTTCTTTTCTTCTTTTCCTTTTTTTTCTTTATGAGTGCTGACGTTTGAGTCATTTATGATGATAAACAAGCCATTTGCACATTAGTCATTAAGAGTCTGTCAGAGTGACAGCATTTGCATATCAATAAAATGTATGGAATGGAAAGTAGAAAGTGACTTTATTAGTATGAATGACTGGTAAATTATGTGGTTTTGAGTGAACTGTTGTCACTTTTTTTTTT